CCCACCATGCCAACAGTATCCTGCTTATCACCATGCTATCATTAGCCCACCATGCTAACAGTATCCTGCTTATCACCATGCTATCATTAGCCCACCATGCTAACAGTATCCTGCTTATCACCATGCTAACATTAGCCCACCATGCTAACATTAGAATGTTTTGCTGTCTCCAATCCACCAATCAGGGACTCCCCTGCAGGCGGTCAGTAAGCGTTGCAGCTGTTATAACTTTTTACCAACTGTATCAGAGACTGGGAAACGATGGTAAACCAATCACAGCCACCTGCTGAGGTTGCTAACGCCACTTTTGCATTGAAGAGCAGCTAAAAATGATTAAAGATAAGCCAAAAGAATTTCAGGAAGATCATAGCGGTATAAAAAAACAAAGTCCTACATTTCATAAAAGCGAGGTTCTGGTTTGGCATATAAGCACCCGCAGACATCCTCTCACTGGAGGTCAGCTGTTCCCTATCTGGTTGAAGTAGTAACTATATCTTTATGTCTAGATGTATAAAATGTCTTGATGCTGATCTTTAAACTTCTGGCACCATTTTCATGTTGGTAAGGAGGTGTAGCGAGCTGCAGATGTAACGGGCCGTGGTCTCTCTCTCTCTCCTTCAGGTTCATATCTTGATGGGGTCCTGTTATAAAACCAAGAAGTTCCTCCTCTCTCTGGCAGAGAACAAGCTGGGTCCCTGCATGCTGCTGGCGCTGCGAGGGAACCAGACCATGGTCGAGGTGAGACAATTACCTGCATGGTTATTATTTCCTACAGTTCTAATTTCCTTCCTGAATCTGGTCCTGGATGCCTGGTGTCCTTCACCTTTTAGATGGCTCTGCTCTGACACCTAAATTAATTGCTGGACTCAGGTATGTTGACTCTGGTCCGATTCTCTGCTCCTGTTTTCAGATCCTGTGTCTGATGCTGGAGTACAACATCATCGAGAACAAAGACACGCAGCTGCAGATCATCTCCACCCTGCAGAGCACGCAGGTGGGCTTCCGCATGTATGAGCAGCTCTGCGACCGCCAGCGGGAGCTCAAAGAGCTGGTGAGTCTCTGCAGCAAATCGGGTCAGAGGGGTCTTTGTTCCGTTACAGACGCTGCCGTCTTTATGACAAGATCCCTGATTCCTGTTGGTTATACACGTCTGCATTACGCCACCATGAAGGTTGAAGTCCACAGCAGCGAACCCGGCAGTCTAGAACTGGACTTGCTTGGCTAAATAAAAACAAAACTGAGCTGAAATAAATGCTGTTTTTTCTGTTTAACTCTCATGACCAAAGTTTGCATTTTTTTAAATCATATCTATAAAAGATTTAAATCAACCACCGTTTTCCCCCCAGCAAAGGAAAGGAGGTCCGACACGGTTGACTCTGCCGTCCAAGTCCACGGTGAGTTCCCCTTTAGATATTCCTTCCTGACTCACAGACGGCCGCTAACAGTTTGATCTCCTCTGTGCTGCAGGACGCGGATCTGGCCCGCCTGCTGAGTTCAGGCTCCTTTGGGAACTTGGAGAACTTGAGCCTGGCCTTTACCAACGTCACCAGTGCCTGTGCCGAGCAGCTCATCAAGCTGCCGTCGCTCAAACAGCTCAACCTCTGGTCCACTCAGGTGAGCGGGAGGATGTCAGCAACAGGTGGGGGCAGGGTGGAGCGTGGAGGACTCATCTGTGCTCTGTGTGCTCTTTACAGTTCGGGGACGCGGGGCTGCGGCTGCTATCAGAGCACCTGGCCTGCCTCCAGGTCCTGAACCTGTGTGAGACTCCGGTGACGGACGCCGGTCTGCTGGCGCTGAGCTGTAAGAGACGCACAGCAAGGAACCCGGTTCTGGTGGAGCGGTTCCGCTGATGCTGCTGCTCTTTGTCTTTCAGCCATGAAGAGTCTGTGCAGCCTGAACATGAACAGCACCAAGCTGACGGCAGACACCTACGAGGACCTGAAGGTAACGGCTTATGATCATAGTAACAGAAGCAGCTTTTTGAAGCCGGTGCTCTGTCACCTCAGCATACCCCATCAGGCCAGCATACCCTTAGTATGCTGGAAAAAACTTAAATCTAGTCTAAAGTCATTTTTTTCTTAAAATAATTGAATGTGTTCTTGGATTAAGGGGGTAAAATAGACATTTTGCCAAAAGAACAAGACAATTTACACTTAAAATAAGAAAACACAATTGCATTGTCTTATATCAAGTACATGTTACCTAATTATCTTATTTTAAGAGTAAAAATACTCATTCCATTGGCAAACTCTCATTTATCTACTCAAATTAAGGGTAAATACACTTCATTTAAGAATTTTTTACTTATTTCTAGATCGTTTTTTCAATGTAATCTGCGTCTATTAGTCCCATAGAATTGCTTCAGATTGTGCCAGTTGGCTCAGTAGGTCGTTATCACAGAGTGAATCCTAATCCTAACCCCAAAGTCATTCCTCTCCCCCTAAAGAATTGATTAGCTATTTATATGTAATCTGGAAATAATTTCCATAGTTCTTCATGTGCTGTAAAAATAAATAAAAATAAAATGATCCGCATGTTGCTTGTATTTAACAAATTAAAAACAAATAAATTTCATATCCTTTCAACTGGGTAGTAGAATCCTCTCCCTATAAATATTTAATTTTCTATGAAAAAATGTCGATTATTCTTTAAAAAGATCCTCATCTAACTGACATGCAATGTTTGTTTTTAAACCTAATGTGTGTAACGAACCTAGTAAATTATTTTTTTTTGTCATTTTATGCAAAAACTACGACAAAAAAACGGACTAAACCGCAAAATAAAACGGCGTGCTTGGATGTAAGGAGAGCGGAGACGGAGTTAACCCTATTTAATGCGTATTACGTAGGGTATGCTGAACACTGGATCCGGTTCTGATCCGATTGCCGTCCTCCGACTGATCAGACCTGAAATGAACCAACAGCTGTTATTTTGTGTAGAAGCTCTTCTCTGGAAGCTTTAAGCAGCTGCTGCTCTGCCGATCATCCTCATCACTCTGAGCCACGTCAGCTTTGGTCCTGAGTGACGATGATGATGATTAACTCTTTCTCCCGTCTCCCTGCAGGCCAAACTGCCCAACCTGAAGGACGTTGATGTCCGCTACACGGAGGCCTGGTGATCCAGAACCTCAGCGCCGGAAGGTTTCTTATCTTCATCAACGGACCTCATCCCTCCTCTTCCTCTCCAAACTTTGAGGACCGGTTCCCCTCGGACCGCTGGGGGACCGGTTCCCCCTCCTCCGTCCTTTTGCCTGAAACGGTTTCATATACCCTCCTCCTCGGGAAAGCTCAGTCCAGATCAGTTTCCCCACTGGTTCTGACCCAACGTCACACCGTCCCATCAGCTCCTCACCCCTCGGTAAGGAGGGGTAAATCCATCTCTGGGCCGTTTAAGGTTCCGTGGTTCTGGTTCCTGGACTTTTAATCAAAACTCATCTGCTGAGGAAAGACATTAAATGGTGTTTTCGAAGGACGTTTGACTGATTTATCTTTGTTTCTCCAGAGGTTCTGATCAGCAGGTGGATCGTTTAAAAAGATAATTTATGTACTACTGCACCTGAACGCACCGCAACGTTAAAAGGCTGGACAGGAAGAAACTGAGGTCAGGCCACTTGGGTCAAAAGTCCTAGACTTTTGTACCGACGCAAAACCACATTACGCGTTAACAGGATGCAGCGCTACACAGGAACCAGAAAAGGACTCGATCAGATTCCTGAACGGACCAGAACCAAGCTTTTTTTTTTTTTTTAAGACTCATTTTTCCAGGAGGGAGGCGCTCCGTCGTTTTCTAGTTTTTAATCCGGATGGAAGAACAGAACCACTAACCCTGGAACCTGTGGCCCGTCACTGATCCACTCTGACCTCTGCTGGTTCTGTTTGGACGTGTTGCCAAAAGCGAACCTCGTCTATCCGGCCATGTTCTGCTCCAAGCTCCTGTACATATCGGATGGAGTCGGCCAGCAGAGCAACGCGTTTTTGTTTGCTATTTATTTGTTGCCATCGGTTCTGACCCCTGACTATGGAGGCCCGGTCCGGTCCGGCTGTACATAGCGCTGTATATAGTCGTCTTTTTGGACCTTTCCTTTTTCAGGCTCATTTTCTGTCTTCATCCAAATGTTTCATCTCCTTTCCTGTCTTTTTTTTTTGCACGTATGCGTTTCTGCACCATCTAATGTTTTCATTTTGTAATTTCTATTTTATAAAATGTTTGTAAAATCTGAAAAAGGGGTTTGATCACTTCTCTCCCTGAAGGCGAACGACTGAAGCGGTTCCATTTGATCCTCAACTGGCCGGGCGATCCGGGAATCTGACGTAGCTCAGCTTCATATTTCAATGTGGTCATTTTTATACTGATGATGATGCACATATTTGTCTTTTCTTAAAGAATGTTGTTTAGATAATCATATCAGAGGAGGACCTGCCCACGGCTGGTTTCTACTGGAATGTTTGAATCCCTCATGGAACCAGTTTAGGCAGAACGACTGAGAACAGAAATTAAACTGCTGATATTCTGAAGATGAATCGCTCCAGTTTGAACCTGACTCCCTCCACTACCAGCAGCTGACCAGCAGGGGGCGCTGGCTCTACAGAAATCCACTGAATAAAGGAAAATCCATTCAGTGAAACAGATTTTATTTGGTTAATTTGGATTTTTTTGCCTAATTTTACGTAAAAACATTTCAAGTCTGCATCCAGACCAATGAAATACTTCACAGCAGAAATGTTTAAACTTGCTTTTTAAATTAGACAATCATCCGATGTGACTAACTGGTTTGTTTTAAGGCATTTTAATTCTTCCTAAAACTATTAAAATGGTTTAGCCGATCCTCTGGGCCCCTTCTGTGTGTCGCGGTGGTCGAACAGAAACTCCTGGTTTCGTTGGTAGCGATCCGTAGAGCAGCAGATCCGACTGAACGGGTTTTACTTTGTGCTGAAATGTTTGTGGGCCGCTGGAAAAAGGAGCTTTTCCAGTCGCTCTGCTTCTCCTGCTGGGTTATTATTACTGTTATCAATTATAATTATTGCTGCTGCTGCTCCTTTGGCTGTTGTAATAAAATACAAAGGCTCTTTGACAGGAAAAATAACGGATGTGAAATAATTTTAATCAAAAATAAAATGTCTGAAGATGTTTCAGCTGACTGAATCATGTCTGGTTTTTCTTCATAACATCCAGTTTCTGTTAAACTGAGTAAAAACCAAAGTCACAGTCCAGACTGTCTGAACAGCTGTGAGGAACCATGTGGAAACCCAGCAGCCCTGAAATAAAGAACCGGTTCCAGGTCCTGCTGCATCAGAACCTGGAACCGGTTCTGCTTCAAGTGTTTCCGTGGAATCGTCCTGAAAAAGGAAGCAACACGGCGGGTCGGGTTCAGGTTCTTCACTTCTACATGGACAGACGGCGATCATCACTCAGGTTGCAAACTTCTTCTGGCGGACCGGAGCAGGCAGCTGAGACATGATGTCCAGCAGGGGGCGCTCCACCACCACCAGAGACCGGTCCTCCATCAGCGCCACACACAGGAGATGCTGTAGGATGAAGAACAGGAAGGAAACATCAAATAGTTTATTTCTATGGCTCATCTGAAGGCGATCCAATCAGATCCTGCTGATTGGATGAGGAGCAACATTGAGTCCAATAACCGGGTCCCAGCTGGACATCGGCATCCTGACCCCGAACTGGGCCTCAGAGAATTGTCAGCATAATGGAGCCCATAACAGATCAGAACCTTGTTTCTCATAAAGCAGGTGGAGGACCAGACTTCCGTACCTGGAAGTTCTTGAAGATCTTGAAGGCGTGGCTTTCTCTGGGCCTCTGTGTCTGAGGAAGACTCCGGAGCAGCGCCTGGTTGTAGAGCTTCGTCCGTTCCTCGGGAAGCGGCTGAGCAGAGAGACATCAGGAAAATTATTCTGAGGGACAGGAGGAGGTGGAATCTGGAGGTGATTGTCTTACCAGACTCTGGTCGATGATGCAGAACATGAAGGTGTCGTGCAGGAGAATCTGGGCCGGGTTCCTGGGGTTGAAGGTGACGCCAGTGATGGGCGTGTCCCGCTGTAGCCACAGGGGGTGAAGTCCTCGCCTCTGCAGCTGCCGGCTCCACTGAGTGAACTCCTTCTGCTTCAGGGAGAACTCAAAGATCTGCAGAAGGACCAGTAACATCAGAGGACACACTATGAGGGACAGATGGGGGGCAGAGGACCTGCTGGTCACCCACCTGGTGGTCAGCGTGCACGGAGACCAGGCTGCAGCCGCTTGGGTGGACGGAGACCGCTGTGGGACAGGAGCTGTAGGTCGGCACCGAGCAGTGCAGCTGCAGAGGAAAGGAGACATTGGAATGCGGCTGGAGGACAGCGGGACAGACAGAGGGACATTCAAAGCCGGAGCTTACCGTCTTCTTTTGAAGGTCGAAGACGTGGATCTCACCGTCAGTGTTTGCTGCAGCTAGCCACTGGCCGTCCTCACTGGGAGACAGGATGTGGACCGGCTGTTTGGAGCCTGAAAACACCAGAACCACAAGGTTAAAAAAACCCGACCAGCCACCAAGGAGACCTGTAAATGGCCCGGTCCTCCCTCACACCAGAACCCAGCCCCTCCCCTGCAGGTCCCAGAGTTTCACGCTAAGCAAGGTTCTGCTTCTGATTTACGTTTCCTGCCAACTCTGCATCTTTTCAGAACTATTTGGACCTCCGTCATCGGCAGGCCCACCCACTTGGTTCCGCTTCTTTATTAAGGGCTAAGAAATAAACTTCTTCACTCACCTGACTGGTGCCTGAATGTGTGAATGTGTTTTATCTCTGTCTGGTCCAGAGTAACCATGACGACGGAGGACAGACTGGAGGATGCGAACAGTCTGGACGAGTCGGATGAGAAGGAGAGCTGATGGACAGAGCGCAGCTCTCTGGGCAGTTTGGACACCTGGAGGCATGAAGAAAAGATGGACGTTCTTCATGTTCAAACCATCATGTTTGGTGCTTTCAAACATTTTTATCCCAGTCTTTTCTCGTTAATCGGAATTAAGCAAACATTTGGTCTGTGGCGCTTCAGCAAACCTTCTGGATGCTGATGTTGTTGCTGCTGAGCTGCAGCCTGTAGAGGTGGACGCTGCAGATGGTGGAGTAAGCTAACCAGCCGCCACATGGAGACAACGTGCTGCAGCAGATGTGGTCCTCTCCCTGCAGGGGAAAGCAAACACACAACCGACTCATTCGCCTGACCTTAGGTTAAACGGACACATTTCTGAGCAGCACTTTGTAGATCTAATCATCTAGAAGTAGAAGACGCACAGAGGAAATAGGAACTGCAGAAAGTTCCGCAGCTATTTAGCAGGAGCCATTGAATGTTAGCACTGGCCACTTCAAATCGTGCTTATGCTAATTAATGCTAATGCTAACCAGTTAGGCTTATGCTATCCAATGCTTGCTCACCCTAACCAGTTATGCTAACCAGTTCTT